TATTTATTATTTATCTGAAGATATTTGTTATGTATATGACTAGAGGATATTATTTATTTATTATTTATCTGAAGATATTTGTTAAGTATATGGCTAGAGGATAAATTGTTTGATCTTTTAATTGTGACCAGATTACCTGGAATACTTTGGGCCAGACTTTTCTCTTCATCCAGACATTGCATCAAGAATAGAAAACCAGAATAGCAAACAGGTAAATGTAAAAATCTTCCTCTCCTCTTTTCTCTTGTCTCGTCTTCTTTCCCCTTCCCTGCCTTCCTCTTCCTTTCCTTCCCTCCTATTTTATTCCCCTTCTCTTTTCTTCTCTTGTTTCGTTTCTTTCCTGTCCTCCTCCCCTCCCTTATCTTCCCATTCCCTTCCCTTTTCTTCCCATTCATTCACCTTTCTCATTTTTCCCGTCCTATCTGGTCCTGTCCTATTCTCTTCCCTTCTCTTCCCTTCTCTTCCCTTCTCTTTCCTTCTCTTTCCTTCTCTTCCCTTCCATTCTCCCTTTCACTCTCCTTTCCATTTTCCTTGCTTTTTTCTCTCTCCAACCATAAACATATCTTCATGATTCCAGTACTTGGATCAGATTCGAACGACTGTCTTCGAAAACATCAAAAACCTTAACGGTGCACCAAGCGTACAGATGCAAGAGGTTCCACCAGACTACCTGTGTCTTGAGAACAACGAAGATCAAACAGACCCAGATTCCAGGCACACAGATGATGACTCGAGGTATCAAACCTTTTCGTCTCCTAAGACGTTGATTGGGGAGCGGGCTGTTGTGTTGAAAGTCAGAGGGGACTAATCCCTGGGTAGCTAGCACGGGTGGCGTAGCGGTGAGAGCGCTCGCCTATCATCGATTTGACCCGGGTTCGACTCCCACTGGGCTCTTTGTCGTATTGTGGGTAGAGTTGTTCGTTGATTCTTTCCTGTGCTTCGAGGGTTTTTCTTCGCGGGTTCTCCAGTTTTCCTTCCTCTACAAAAATCAACTTCTAAATTCGATCATGGAATGAAGGCTACAGGTTTGTTATGCTACTCTCAAAAAAACAAGGACTTTTTTCCCCCACTGTGAGCAGTCCCTGCATTTTCCTTGGTCACTGTTAGGTGTTTAAATTTGCTTGATTTGGCCGCGCAAGGATTAGTTGCTAGTTAAATATAACTGGGGTAGAGGCCGGAAGTGAAGAATGAAACAAAAACTCCCCACAATCCTCCCAAAGGGTACATTCCTGGACGATTATAGTACTCAGAGTCATAATTATTATGCATTTGACTTGCCACTTTGGTTGAAGTGAGAGGCTGGGATTGACGGAGAGGCGATCCACCTTCAACTAATATTTTTGGATAATCCGTAGGTTAGCTGAAAATGACTTTTACGACGGCGAACAAGACATCGATCGAGACTCGCCGTCTCTGGAAGTTTGAAGACTAAGTTTGCTTCTGATGTAGAACGACACTTTTTACTTGTTCATACAGATGCCCAACTAGAAGCTAACAGATATGATGTCCATCACATCAGGGCTAGGAAATGAGCGAATAATAATGTGGTCCCAAAACATACTCTGAGGAACGCCATTCCACATCTCTCCATATGACATGTGATAAGAAACCAACAACCACCTCTTATCTCAATTACTCCAGCTTTATCAAAGAAGTGATAAGTGATGTGGTCCCAAAACATACCTTGAGGAACGCCTTTTCAGATACTTCGCCGTTCTTCCATCGCGTGGTGATATATCCTTCTACGTTGCTTTTCCAGTTTTAGATAAGAAACTTTTTATTAATGCATTCATCTACTCATACGTGTGTATCATAGAGACTTCTGATGCCACAGGAAGCCCAACTCGCTTTATCCTTTTCCCCTTTGATTTCATTGCGCTTTCAGACAAAGTTTTCAATGATAATGAATATCGTGCGTTAGTATTTTTTTGAAACAACATGACTAAAAGTTAGGAAATAAAATATATCCAAGTGACTAACCATATTTCATTCTCATAGCTTTCGGTGGATTAGCTTTTAATCAGGATAGATTTCGCAATAGGGTTTATTATTTTGCGTCGACTGTCGTAGAAAAAAAATTCAAACAAAATTCGCGCAGAAAATTGGAAGACTCGTGCGGTAGAGTTTGGTAGAGTTTGTTGCTACTCTACTGTACTTCGAGGGTTATTCTCCGGTTTTCCTCCCTCCATGAAAATCAACTTCTAAATTCTAATTCGATCTATCGGTTGCCTTGTAGTTGAGTCCTAGCCCTGTAAGGCTTTCCGTCCACCTCAGAGTGGTAAAGTTATATAAGTGAGGATTCTAACTGCAATGCGTGTGAGAAAATATCTAGATTTCGTGTGCCTAGCTCTGCGCATTTTCATAATGATCTTCAGCCCGAAGGATAATACTACTAGCATTTTGTCAAAGAAAGATTTGTTGATCCGTCTATCATCAAAGAAACCTGGTAGATGCCGGTTACCTTCGTGTAGGTCACTGTAATGCTTGGTTTAACCTCAATCGTCTCTTGTGAGACGTGCGCTTCATCGAGTGGGGAAATCTATCATACAAGTTATGGATGACTCGTCATTTACCTGCGCAAGTTCATGTACTGTACTTTTGCTAAACCTTCAATACCATTACTGTCTTTCGAACAGGACGTCAACTGTATTCATTGTCAAAGGGAATTTCATTTTATCCATTTATATAAATTTTACAGACGTCAGTGAAACTAAAAAAAGACCTTGTGCGTAAAGAGGAGAACGGAAACATTCTTATGTATGCGCGCCATCGTTTTCAAGCCAGGCATTTACAGCATTTCAATAGGAAAACAAGCTTTTCCTGAAGCAGCGACAATGCTATGATGACGAATTCGAAGGCTTGCGCATTAAAAAGAGCACACATTTGTTCTTCGCCGTTTCGAGACCGTAACGTCTCTTCTGACTCCTTTCGGTGTGGACGTACCCAAGGGTTTCATCTACGTTCACGTGGCATGTAAATGTCAAAAAATAAGTAAGAGTTCTTAATGAGCTCAGGTTGTGATTTTGTACTAGGAAATTTTACTAACGCAGTTTATGATTTTTGCTAGAGAGGGTGTGAAGGGAAGGTTAAGATTAAGCCTTACCCAAAAGGTTAAGTTATGCTTAATCTATTGCCCTTGGCTTATAGATAATCTATACTTCCCATACTTAAGCAAGTGCCACCACTTCTTATTCTTTGTCAAGTGTAGCGTCCCATATCTGATAAAAGACACATGATATTCTGCTCTTATCCTTGGCTATGATGTCACACTCCATACCATGTACCATTCTGCTCTTATCCTTGCTCACGCGCAAAAGTTATATATGTAAGCCCTTGTACGACCACGTTACTAGAGTAGGGCGGGAGTGACGAAATAAGAAAGTAGTATTTGTCAAGAGGTGGCCATTGATTGGTTGCCTAACCACAAGTCACTAGTTCTAAATGATGACCAACGTTACCGTACTCAGACGAATGGTAATGCATGCAACTGCCAATGCAAATTAGCGCAGCTGTACTGAGAGCTATGATTGAATCTAATTGGATGGTTGTATGTAGTGTATAGGAGTGCAGAGCATGGTTAGTTGCGTGTTTACTCACCCCGGTGCGCTCTTCGACCACCCCCTAAAACGTGCAGGTTGCAAATTTGCAACCTCTGTTTTGTTATCATAGGTCCACTGAAAACGACTAGCCTAGTTGCTTCCTTTAAGCACACCTTTCCTACGGGGGTTCATATGCTCCCTCACTATTTTGCTTCTTCGTTCTCGTAGCCTTTCGTCTTCGTCTTGAAAATGATTCTGATTTACCATCCTAAAGTTCCACTTGAATCAGAATTTTGAAGAAAATTAATTAGAATAATGAAAACTTGTCTGGACGATTGCTCATGGTAACGAAACACAGCTCGTCAAACTATCTGGATGTCACATCTTTTTAAACCGAATTCTATACTCCGGCTTGATTGTTCATCAGTAGTATAGGGAATGGGGGTTCCAGCGCAATCTCAACACGGGCAAGACCCGTGTCAAAAATCCACCTACGGAAACAACCCCACTCAAGTGTGGTTGGGGGCAACAGCGCAAATATGTTAGTCTATATATGGAGTGCGAAGA